GCTTGAAGCAGAGCCTGCTGTACCAGTCGCAAAAAATAGCATCCCAAAAAACGACTGGTTTTTTGATATAAAAGGTGAAAATGAAAAACGTTTAGCGTTGCGATCCTTTAGAAATGCAAAAAACAATGTTTCTGAACAATCGTTTGAAGGATTAAATGAGCAGGTTGGGCATAGGCCACCGAAGGTTCCACCCAATTCTATAGATAAAGAAAGTTCTCAATCATCCTTTGATAAATTTGTCAACTATAAAGTCATAGAAGAACAACTACTGAAAACAGCACAAGCTCTGGATAAGGAACTTAGCCTCAGGTCTTTTTCTGACAAAGAACTGTTAAAAACTGCATGTGGACCCCAAAGGAGCAAAGCTAAACTGCAGATGCATGTAGATGACATTGAAGGCGTACCCAGAACTCTTCATGAGAATACCGGTGAATTGATGGATTTGATTACGGCACGTCTCCTGAGCCCGAGAACATCTTCCGCTAATCCGAAAGAATCAGATTTAGAACTGAAAACTGCACAGCCATACATGATCAGTCCAGCGAAACCCAAATCTCATGTAAAGAGACCCTCATTTCTTGCTCTTCTTGAAAATGAACCCGACATCAATAGTGCTGACTTTGACAGTCCTCAATCTAGCAGAATATCCGATATGCAAAAAGATAGCATTCGACAACCAACTCGCGATGAAGAGGATAAAAATAAGAAAACAGTTGGAATTCTTAATATAAAAAGTGACAAAACGCCCTCTCGCCTTCGCAAATTAATCCGTCCATTTCGAAGCGACACCAGCCTAATGGCATCTGACAACAGGTTGGATTTACAGTTGATCTGAAAGTTTTATTTATGGGTCTTAAAGTTTTACTAAACAAAACAATTGTCTAAATTTTAGCGAATGCACTCTTTAAACCATTGCTTGCTTCCTTTTCACAGTATCCGTCGAAAGGAAGAAAATACTGGAAAGCAGGAATCCAAGACTGCGGATTCTGTGTCTAACCACTACAAACGCTATGCTCAATCTTCATGAAGCGCTCTATTACGGCGAATTTTTAACAGATTTAACTTCTTTTATATTGGAAAAATTTGTCTTATGAGTCCTAAACCGCAGAAGCTCACTTCTCATCTCTTCAGGTTTAGGATTGTACTCTATACTTGTCTATAATGGCTATGGAAGACTAGTGTTTGTGGGCTCAAAATTAGCCGAAATATCGTTGTTGATGGTCTACCGCCTCATCGTGGCGCGGAGGTGACTCTGGGTGTTGAACTGCGAAGTACAGCGGAGGTTTATCCTCCAACAGGTCTCCCAAGCTGAAAATGAGTTTGACGCTTCCGGTTCCCCGGATGCCCAGCTAAGAGTAGGCCATGCGAGAAGCACCACCGTCTGGCTGATTCAGTCGCTAGGTGGCACATATCTCCCTGATCCACATAAGATCAGCG